TTTCCCTACCCCAGTCTTCTTCTGGAAATCACTGAACCTGGTGAGCATTGGAGATGGGACTGGGGAGGGAAGAGGGAAGCTGCAGGGTGGAAGAGAGCTTTTCCTCGCCTTAGCTCATACAGTTTGATTATGGAGTTTGGGATTAAACTGACTGCCAGGACTGGGTTAAGGAAGGTGTATACGTCTCAGCTGGCTTGGCAGAGACTTTGGCAAAGGGAATAAATTGCACATTCCTTGTGACTCAGAACACATTAGCCTCCTGAAGGCTAAAGTCTGTTAGTGTAAATAACAGTTATTGGACTCCACCTAGAAGTAAATGCTCCACTATACAGCAGGTCACTCTTTCAAATTCTGGGAAGGATTCATGAAATTGTTTGCTACAGAAATATTTCAATAGGGTGACACAGAAGTCTCGCTTCTGTCTCCTGGGCAGCAATGAAATCCACTCAGAACAAGCTGACCAGCCTGTAGTTATTTTAGATTATTAGGAGCTTCAAGCTTCAAGCTATCACATGTTAAAAGAAAGTTCCTTCATTATAACTCGTATAAAACAGTCAACTAACCAACAGCTTCCACTTTTCACTTGTCTGCCAGAGGTCCAGCAATTACAGAGACAGTTTTACCTTGGTTTTCAGATTATCTTTCTCAGACAAGTAAGAAAGACCAGAAGTATTTTTACCTGGTTCAGAACCACCCAGTTGGGATCAATCTGTGCATCCCCCTCTGGGTCCAGCACCACTGTCTGATAGGCCCTGAAGTCTGTCAAGGTGATCTCTGCGTTCTCAGGGCACACATCAATCCGATCAATCACTGTATCCTGGTCAAAGTCAGACTCGCAGATATCCCCAACTCCATCACCTGAATGCATCGGAGAAGTGAAAGCAGATTTATGGTGCAGCAAGTAGCCACATCTGGCTGAGCCACTGGATCAGGGTGTCCAAGAAATAGGTGGAGTCTGAGCCCCGATGGCTGCAGTGCCTGGGGAGGGGACCTGAGGACCTCTGCCTTGGCCAAAGGGTCCCTGTGTGTTGGGGTCCCTCCTGGGATGAGTGTGTGCACACGTGTGTCAGACCCTGGTGCACATGTGTAATGCCTGCGGCAGGATGCTGTGCCTAAGGACCAAAATGGCTCCTGAAGGCCCATCTTACCGTTATCATCTTCCTGCCCTGGGTTTGGGACCAGCCTGCAGTTGTCAGGGCCTGGGGGCAAGAGGTCAGGCATGCCATCATTATCATCATCCTCGTCACACTCGTCACCCAACCCATCCTTATCTGTGTCCAGCTGGGAGCTGTTAATGACGGTGGGGCAATTGTCTGTGCTGTCCTGGTGCCCATCGCCGTCGCTACAAGCACAGAGACAAAAAGAAACGGCACGCCAGCATTAGCTCCTGCCTCTGCATGGGGGACAGCACAGACACCTGAGCAGGCAACGCACTGGAGGCACCCCCGGAGCTGGAAACAGACCAGTGGGGCATCATGACCTGGGGTCGCTCAGGTGGCTGAACAATGATGAGACAAGGAACAACAGAGACTGTACGATAAGGTGGCAGGAAGATGAAGAGTAAGCCTGGAGTGATAAAAATACTCAGATAAGGAAAAGAAAAATAAGCCTTACATGGCGTGGGGAAAGATACCAGAGCCCAACATCCCAAACGGCATCCACTCCTAAAGTGCATGTAAAGCACATCCAACAAGTGCAGTGTCACCAAACAAAAGGCGCCCAGGAGACAGCAAAAGCTCAACAGCTGGTGTCCCTTGTCACACATGTCGTCCGCAAGTGTCTTGGTGCTCATGAATGTGCAGGTGTGAGTGTGAATGAAAATTTATGGGAGAGTCTGCATAAGCACCTGAAATCAGACTTGTTTAAAAACAAGCACCATTCACCCTCCTGCATAGCAAGTTTTGTTACATTATGGTCCCGCAGGGGAGCCGCACAGTAAGAAATAGAGGAGAAAGTCTAGCCCCCAAGCACCCCTCCAGCCCATGCATCAGCTGGTTACAGTGAAGAGTCACCAGGAACAGGGACACAGACTATAGAAAGGGGTTTGGAAAGTTATGGGGTGGCTGTGTTGTTTCTCCATGCCAACAGTTAAGTGCATCTGTGCAAAAAAACAGCCTGAAGTCAGGTGTGTGTTGTACACACACCATAAACAAAATCGTTTGGGGTGATAAGCAGGCATGTTTCCCCTCAGTAGCTTTTTGCCTAGCACAGGCAGAGCAAAGCTGACATGCAGCCAAATTAAGGCAGTGCTGCAGCTTATAGCTATGCATATTCCCACCTACCTATCCCTGCTTAAGAAACGTGCTTTACTTTTAGGTCAGAGCAACTAACGTTTGCACATTCTGGAGAAAAAATGCAGTGAGGACAATGCACATATATCTATTGCAAGGTTAACCTCAGGCACAGCTACACCATTTCTACCAGGAAATTCTTCATACGCATTAGTTAGGTATGAGGAAAAAAAGAAAACATATCCTTTTTTATAATGGGGGAAAAAACAAGGCCATATCTGCTTAAGAGTAAAACAGCTCCCAGTTGGGGGCCTTGGCAGCTACTGGCCTGAGACTGGGAACACTCCCTGCAGAGGCGGGAGTGGGGGCTCCCTGCACTTACCATCCCAGACAGCAGCACCCACCAACGGCCCTGGGGGGAGACCCTGCAGCCGTCTGCGGCTGGTGAAATGCTATGCCAGCACAGAATTTATCACTTCCCTTTCCTCTTGCTTTAAGTGAAGAGCACAGAGGAGGGCTTGCCACCCCCAAAGCTGGTTATGCAGAAGCTGCTTCCAGCCAGGCGTTAGCAGTTTGTCATGGGACTTGCTTCCCTGAATGCTCAGGGCATGTAAAAGCCATAGAGAGGAGTCTTGCCACTCTAAGCCTGCCACACAGAGAGGCACTTGATGCGCTAAAGCAAAGGGGGTTTATCTGCAAATGTTTTACACTTCATAACAAAATGCTGTTTCCGAAACACTAGGTCCTTGCAGAAAAACATAGAGCCCTTAACTGTGAAATCTCTGCTAAAGGAAAAAAGAAAGAAAAGAGGAATGAAAAATAAAGACAAGAAAAAAGATGTTACCTCACTAAGAAGCTCTGTGCAGTGCTCTGGGTTTTAGAGCCAGAGAACTGCTCTGAGTGTCACTTTCACAGGAACTCACAGAAAGCCTGTGTGAACATGGTGCTAAAGGTGAAAGGCTCCATAACTCTACTGCTACAGAGGAGTGAACCAACAAGGCTGATAAATCATAACATTGTTTTTGGAATAACAACTCTTTGAGGAGGTACTGGAATTAAATCCCCGCTAGTCTGAGGGATTACAGCTCTCCAGTAATCAGAAGCATGCTTCAGCTCAAGACCAGCCTCTTCCACTTCCCTGCTGCTGTTACAAGCCACAACACAGCATACCTGTCCTGATTGGTATCGCAGGAATCTCCAACCAGGTCATTGTCAACATCCGACTGCAAAAGGAAACACAGAAAGTTCCAGTATCAGCTGCTAAGAGTATCTATTAAAATAGCAGCATTAAACCAAAACACAACCAAATCAAATACAATCCAAATAAAAGCACAGAAAAAGCATTTTGTTTTATACAACGTATTTTCTTGTTTGCATCATCTATCTAACCAAAAACTTTTATTAAAGAAAAAAAAAACAGACAATGAAAAACAGAGTTAAATTTGATTGGAGCAGTTCAAGCAAGATTCCTCTACTACTGGAAATAAGTCTCTCTCATTTCTAACCAAGGTTGATTTTTTAAGCAGTCTTAAAAATCTACCATGTTTCTCTACAGTTTCCAGCATTTTTTGTTACTCACAAGGAGCTAAATCAGAATTCAAAACATATGAAAAGTCTCACTGCCTTCTCATGTAGGAGCAGTGAAAGTTTTGCTATATAAGGACACCAGGATTTTGTCTTAATTAAAGAAATACCAAGTGCAACTAAATCACACCACTGTGAGGAGTCTGGCATTGGACTCCATGGGACTGGAGCATACCTGCATTTTAGAGCATGACAGTAAAAGACACTGGCAGGGCAGAGGTGCTAACAACATCCCAAACTATGAGAATACATCTAGTGGCTTCCCTTTTCCCATGTCAGGAGAGTTTGAAGCTCCATAAAACTTTCCTGAATACCCACTGTTAAAAGATAAACACTGTGGCTGCATGGGCTGCCTCATTCTCTTGCATCTTTTTGGGTCTCAGCAGTCCCTCTCCCTATATAAGGATATTTTTTTCCTTCTGCCTGCTAACCTGGTTTGGGTTGCTGATTGTAGGGCAGCTATCACAGACATCACCAACACCATCGTTATCTTTGTCCTCCTGGTCTTCATTGGGGATCCTCTGACAATTATCCAAAAGGTTCTTAATACCTAGTGAAAAATAGATCGGATGTTAGTTAAAAACAATTCCCGTATTTGATACTGGACAACATAAACATCAAGAACAGTAAAGACACTATTCCTTTTCAGTAACTACTTAATCTTGCAACAATATTACATGCCTGCACAGCAAATATTTCTTATGTGTGCATCCATTGATTTAATAGAAGTTAGAAACATCTTGCTAAAGAACAGCTTTCAATGCCGCCCCCCCCCCTTCATTAATGACACACAATTCATTCTATCCTGTTCCTGTATCACAGCTTACAGGATGGGACATTTCATCTTCATTGTTACATTTGAAGGGTTGTGATTTTTTCACTTCTTTCAAGCCTCCTACAGTAATGAAAATAATACATTATGTAGCTCTTGGGCATCTGGGACAGGAAGCAACTGGGTACTCTGGGACATGTTTGCACCTTTAAGGAACTACTGAATGACCGACAACCTTAACTTATACATTAAACATGGCTTGGTTTATCTGTTACAGTGTTCAGTGCTTACGATGGAGAGTAAAAGATATACATTAATCTAAATGAAAAGGTGTCCAAACACAGGTTTCATGAAGAAGACAACGTGTTACATGACACTGAGCAGCTGGTGACAGGAAATCTCCTAACACACTGCACATTCTGGCCAAGTTCCAAGAACGTCAGAGAAGCTGGAGGTGAAGAATTACAAACCATCTCCATCCATGTCATCATCACAAGCATCTCCTTTCCCATCACTATCTGTGTCCCTCTGGTCATTATTCAGGACATTGCGGCAGTTGTCACATGCATCTCCAAAGATATCTTGGTCGACATTTCTCTGGTTAACATTAGGAGCCAAGACACAGTTATCCTGCAAGAGACACAGGTCCAAATCAGACATGAACTGAACACTTTAGTGGATTTATATAGCTCTTGTATTTATTTACACTTTCACAAAAAATGATTACTGTGAGCAGTTCAACATTTTACGTGAATATTAGCTCTGGATCAGATTTCACTGGCTCCCTCAAAGCTCTGCTTTGAACCACATGATGGGAAGCCTAAATATAAACACTCAGCATCATAAGGCTTTATTTATAACTTTGCCTTCTGATTCTCATTTTGGATGCGTCCATGGTGAGTCACCTGTTTTGGTGCCCTGGCTTCCTTACATGGTCCTTCTTAAAAGCTGCAGTTCAGAGACCCTGACAAGGTTTGTACATGCTCTGAGTGAAAGGCCGTTGCCCCCTTCTGGTAGAGACTCAAACCAAAGCTGAAACACTTGGAAACACAGGACTTCTTGATGCGAAAGTTAGAAGCCTTTTTTTTTTTTTCTTGGTCAGCCAAGCTGCTACTGACTCTCTAAGACCATTAGGAGATATGGGGCAAAAACTTTACTTCAAAGCAGTATAAATCTTCCTCTCCCATCTAGCACACCCATGACCTCATCCTCTTGGACACATGGAGGCAGAACAGAGCTTATCAACAATACAGAAGTTACTTGACTGAGAAGGTGCTGAACCTGCATATAGATTCACAGTTGAAGGAGGATTTAACATCTTTCCTTACAGAACATTAATAAAACCAGTTGCTTCAAGATATCAGAATTTAAGGTTGGCCTCTGTGGCAAAACAGCCTGAGACAGACCTTCTGTGATTGCTCGTCTGCCCTAGCTCCACATCAATGTTTGTACTCTGTCTGGACAGAGTGTTCTTGTCTTCCTTGGAAGTGCGTTAAGCAATACCACAGGAGGATCTTAATGTAGAACAACAGTGGGCATGTCAGGATACAGGAGGAACACGAAAGGGCTTTTACAGTCTGAATTTATTCTCTGATATGTTCTGCAGTAGTGTACCCCCATGGAAACGTCTTTCGCTTTGAGAACATGATTCAAAGCTTTTTCAGGTTATTGGCAAGACACTCATTAATTTACGTGGGTTTTGGATCCCTCATGGAATGTGATGTCAGGTCAATCCACTCTTTAAAAAGAAAGATGCTAATGCAAGTAATGTTCCTGAAGGCCATCCTGTGGGGCAGCGTGACAGAAGGATGTAAGTTCTGTATACAAAAAGCTCTAGAATTCAATGCTAAAATATAATAATGGAGCATACACTGGTGGGATTTAAGGCTGGGTGAGTCAGCCTGGGGTTTTTAGGTCTCATAATAGTGAGCATTATATAAAAGAAAAAGGCAGGATGTAAAGAGCTGCTGACAGGGATTGCTATGGGATACTCTCTGACAAATAGTAGTGAGCCAGATTTCAAAATCACCGCCTAGTGCAGTAACGTGAAATACTTCTGTTCACACAGAACCCCTGCACCCTGATCTATACACAGCACCTGCTCATTGGGAATGCCATCTCCATCTGCATCGTCATCACAGGCATCTCCAATCCCATCACCATCGGCATCTTCTTGTCCAGAGTTTGGGACAAATCTGCAATTGTCCTAGACAAAAAATGAGACCTGTCTGATGTTCTATGGGTAAACTGGATGCCTTCATAATTTGAATTACTTTTTCTATTGTTGTTTTAATTATTCAATTAATCAAATTAAATACAATTTATCCAGAGGAATTCAATAACTTGAAAAAAGATTAATACATCTAGTCATGCTTCTTCCACTCTTCCTCTTCACCCCTTCATGTTCTGAATTAGTACAGGATTAAGGAATAATTTCTTACCTTTCTGCAGTTTTCAGCAGAGCATGAGAGTTCTTCGTTAGGGTAGCCGTCAATGTCAACATCTTTTCCACAAGTATAACCATCACCAGCCCAGCCAATGCCACACTACCAACAAAACAACATGGTAGTACTACCAAAAGGTTAATGAGTCACTGTAGCAATATTCAAGAGGGAAACCCCTGTATCAATCTTGACAAAACCAACACACAGAAGGCATGGACAGATGCTGAAGTACAATGAAGTACACTTCAGCATCTCACAATGTGGAAAGAAAATCTTTGTTTCAAGCTCTCTGTATTCAGGCACAGCTAGAAAGAGCTAAGACTTGATGTTAAATGGAATGTGTGCCTGCAACACCTAATGATTTCAGAGGGAGCTATAGATATTTTTTTTTTAGACACTGGTCAGGAATCAATTTTGGTTCCTCACCTGCAGATGGAAAAAAAGAAAAGAGGAGACCTAGGCAGAATATCCAGCTAGCATCTCAGCAAGGGGCCCATGGTTAGATGGGATGACTGTTTTGTTCAGTATCTTAAGAATACATCTGCAACTAGAGGAAGTTTTAAGAGAAAACTGCGCTGACAGTTACTAAGTTTGCATCAGCAAACCAAGTGCATCTGCACACAAGTTTCTCCTAGCCAATTCAATTGGTATTGTTTCAAACCAATGCCTAATTTGTGTTGTAACTGAAGATACATGCATAGAACTGCATGTCAAACTCAGGCCTCCTCTTAAAATGAGGACTTGCATAACACAAGTATATAGGCATCTTCCCTTTACAGTATGGACTTAAAATATCCTAGATTCTTCTTCTTGGAAGTAGATGTACTTAAAAATGAGACCAAAGCAAGTGCCAGCAGAAGCATGCACTACATCCAAGTTTAGGACACAGGATTAGTCTCTTGCTTCCCCTTGCAAGCTGGAAAAACTAAGTAATACACTTCAGTTAGACTCTTATAATCAAAGTTCATATGCCACTTGGTGCTCCTCTGCTCCCACAGCTAGAAAGCACAGTACAGCCTACCTGTGCCTAGAATCTGTGATCTCACTTGGAAAAATACCACCTCTATCAGCAGGCAGATACAGGCATGTTGGGTATGCAGGGAGGATTCCTACTCACAGCTATGTAGCTGCGCACCAGGAGAGGAATTTGTCCTTGTGATGTCTTCTGTAGAGTGACACTTGACAGTCCTTTCTGAGGAGACTATAGAAAGTCTATAAAAGCCATTCCCAAAAGAACTAATAATATAGACACAGTAAATATGGTACACGAGTATGGCTGCCTTACAGACGTGCTGCAGGAAGAAAACAATTGCAAAATAGACTCAGCCCGATTATTTTCGTAGGTGGTCTGGGCTAGTGTGCCATAATCTGGTTAAAACACCCAACTGTATAAAATGACCACAAAGACTTTATCAGTTCCAGCCTAAAAAAGGTTATTTTTCACTGTACAAATGCATGAATTTATGAACTTACAAGACATGTCACCTCTCCTCTCCTCTCCTGAATACAACGGGCATGGACACTGCATGGATTGAGGGCTCGAATTCTGCAGTTCCTCTCAGCCTGGCATCCCCTAGTTTGGTCTCCTGTATATCCTGGTTTGCACTGGCCACAGTGGTAAGACCCCTGTTAGAACAAAAAGTTACTAGCCAGCCTTTTAATGGGACGTCTTTTTCTTTTAAAGCAAGCATGTGAGCAAGATTCATGTTACACTGCTTATGCTGTGCCAAGTGTAGTTTTTCATGCATTGAAGCCTCCTGCACTGTGAACAACCTTTATTTTCTAAGTGAAATGCAGGTTTGGCTTCCATAGTGCACACTGGAAAACACGCTCCACTCTCGCCTGTCTAGACCAGTCTTTTGTTAAGCCAGAGAAAGGTCATGTAGCAGCAAAAGCTTCTTCATGAGGACTTGTCCCTGCCAGCATCACTCTGAGCTGCTTCCAGGTGGCCAAAACTTTGGTAAAATTCTAAGTAGCACCTGCATAATCAGATTGGATGCTCTTACTTGAGTGTAAAGCAGACTCATCAGTTTAGATAAACTCAACTGGACACAGCTTTTAATCAAAGAGAGACAGTTTATCATGGTTTTGCCTCATTTCTTTTTAACTTAAGTGTTTTTAAGCCAATTTGAGCTAAATCTTGTTATTCAGAAAAGAATTCAGGAATTGAAGACACAGTCATCCTCATTTACGCTGCAATAAGAACATTCATGTAACATTTTGCAGTGGTTTACCTAGATGCATACACACATATGTTATATTCGTGCCACTCTCTTGTGTAAACAAACCCAAAGGAGCTAAGCCAAGGAATCTCAGTGTGTGTTGGGACAAAATGAGATATAAACGGGTAAATGCTGATAAGAAGGGGTCTTCTTTAGGCATCTAATGTGGTTTTTGTCTCTAACTTTCATACTTGTAGATTTGTAACCTATGACATAAAAATTAACTGAAAAAAAATCTTTTTTCCTTACAGAGAATAATTATTTTTGACATGTCAAGGAACAGAAACAGGCAGATCTCTGACAACTTGTGCATCCATCCCTTTGTGAAGCTGAGGCACTTCATGCAACTTCACTCTTCCCATACAAAGCCTGTTGCAGGAACTGTCAGGATTGTCCCAGTCCACCATGATATAGAGATACATTTACTAAGCAGTTGAGCATTATTTTTTCCTCTGTTCCCAGCTTCATTCTGAATTTTAACTCTGTGTTGTCTGTATACTTTCAGGCTGATGAAAGATGAAGATATACAGATGACTGAAGAGTAAAATAATCACTGGGCTATGCAAATGGTATGGCCTATATAAACCATATCAGCTTGTGCACTTTCTCCTAATAGATGCGTAGGTAAGATCTACTGGAGTCTGCTGAATTTGCTCAGTATATTCTGTTCTATATCAAGCCCTGGTACGCACTAAAATTGCCTTTAAGGCAGCACTTCCAGACCAAACTATTTCTAAAGGGAGACAGGAGTAAAAAACCCACACTGCTCTGTTTTGACAGATGGCAGGCCACTTGTTGCCCTCTGCAAACAGGGCCTGATGGCCTCCGGAAGAGGACAAGTCATGTCTAGTCATTCAATAAGATACATGTGACAGAAAGGTTTTAGATATTACAGAAAAAAAAAAAAAAAAAAAAGAAACATATTGAACAGTGAACTCAGCCCTAGAAAAACATGGTTATTCAGAAGGAAAGCACACCACTTCGAACACTACTGGTAGGCTCAACTGGCTGCACAAAGGACCACCTTTACCTCTATAGGATGCTTTTAACTTTTCTCTTGTTATGGAGAAAGCCTGCTCTGTGCAGCCAGCTATAGCAGAACAGTACTTGACAGTGGCCTAGGTGGCACGTACAGGACAACGAGGTGATCAGGGCCAGTCAGCATGGTTTATGAAAGGCAGGTTCTGCTTGACTAACCTGATTGCCTTCTACAACAAGGTCACCCACTTAGTGGATGAGACAAAGGTTGTGGGTGTTGTTTACCTGGACTTTAGTAAAGCCTTTGACACCATTTCCCACAGCATTCTCCTGGAGACACAGGCTGCTCATGGCTTGGATGGGCATATTCTTTGCTGGGTAAAAAACTGGCTGGATGGCTGGGCCCAAGGAGTGGTGGTGAATGGAGTTAAATCCAGTTGGCGGTTGGTCACAAGTGGTGTTCCCCGGGGCCCAGTATTTGGGCCAGTTCTGTTTAATAGCTTTATCAATGATCTGGACAAGGGGATCAAGTGCACCCTCACTCAGTTTGCAGATGACACCAAGCTGGGTGGGAGTGTTGATCTGCTTGAGGGTAGGAAGGCGTTACAGAAGCATCTGGACAGTCTGGATTGATGGGCTGAGACCAACTGTATGAGGTTCAACAAGGCCAAGTGCCGGGTCCTGCACTTGGGTCACAACAACCCCATGCAACGCTACAGGCTTGGGGATGAGTGGCTGGAAAGCTGCCTGGCAGAGAAAGACCTGGGGTTGTTGGTCGACAGCCGGCTGAACATAAGCCAGCAGTGTGCCCAGGTGGCCAAAACGGCCAACAGCATCCTGGCCTGTAATAGAAATAGTGTGGCCAGCAGGACCAGGGAAGTGATCATCCCTTTGTACTCTGCACTGGTGAGGCCGCACCTCAAATACTGTGTTCAGTTTTGGGCCCCTCACTACAAGAAGGACATTGAGGTGCTGGAGCGTGTCCAGAGAAGGGCAACAAAGCTGAAGGGCCTGTCTTATGAGGAGTGGCTGAGGGAGCTGGGGTTGTTTAGTCTGGAGAAGAGGAGGCTGAGGGGAGACCTGATTGCCCTCTACAACTACCTGAAAGGAGGTTGTAGCGAGGTGGGGGTTGGTCTCTTCTCCCAAGTAACGCGCAATAGGACATAGGACGAGAGGAAATGGCTTCAAGTTGCGCCAGGGGAGGTTTAGATTGAGTATTAGGAAACATTTCTTCATTGAAAGGGTTGTCAAGCATTGGAACAGGCTTCTCAGGGAAGTAGTTGAGTCACCATCCCTGAAGGTATTTAAAAGGCATGTAGATCTATTGCTTAGGGACATGGTTTAGTGGCAGACTTGGCAGTATTAGGTAAACGGCTGGATTTTATGATCTTAAGGGTCTTTTCCAACCTAAATGATTCTATGATTCTGTGATTCTAAGTGAAAGGTCCAGCTTGCTTCACAGAATTAAAACGGTTGTACACCTCTTCTATTGAATCCTAACATCTTTCAAACCATTTCTGCTTCTGCTATGCTTGCTCTCCTGGATTTAATATCTATGGGTATTAAAAGTGTTATACCAATTGCAGCCCTCCTCCACTCTGTACTTATTTAGACGGATATCTGGTACTGTATAAATACCCTAACGAAGTGAAGACGTTACTTCTAATAAAAGAGCACCCAGTGGAACAGCTTAGTGCAACAGTTCCCAGGTGGGAAGACATGAGGGGAAGCAAATGTTTAATCTTTCAAAGGAGGTTCCTTGCAATAACACACTCATAAACACACAGAACTGGATTATGTGGAGAGAAGAGTTCCTGCTATTCCTCAGGGAAAGTGATAAGGATGCAGTTCAGATGGACATGTTAATGATAAATCAAGTATTATTTTTTTTATTATTAGTCAGGAAAAGATCAAAGGATTCTTTGGTTTAGATGAAGCCAACAAACAAATGGTATTACTCAGCTCTTCAATGAGATCCACAAATCCAATCCTAGCATCACTGAATTTTAAAATAATTTTTTAAAGCCACAAATGAAAAGGTGCTTACCAAAGTGTTTATGCAATGGGAATTCGGAACGCAGAGTCCAAGTCCACCATTTTGACATTCGTCAATATCTAAGCAGACCTAGCAATAAAACAAATCAACATGTAATAAAAACAGTGTCAATCTAAGATCCAAGTCTGAAGAAAAACCACTAAAGTTTAAGTCTAGAAGAGTCATAGCCTCTCCTGAAACTGGTCTCAGAATGGCACAGACATTACCATAGGCTAACTTTCCTGTGGATCTCCAGACACATATAAACCCTGAAGAGACACTGTGATACAGAAAATTCCAACCTTAGGATAGGCTTCTGATTCACCCACAACAGTTTATACAAGAACTATGTTCCCCTTGCACGGCGCTACAGGAACATGCAAACAATGATAGTAAAATAGGCCCTTTCTATTGTACTCTTCCTAGTTCAAAGCCAGTTTACAGAAATCAAGAGATCACCCTTTAAAACTATCAGAGATACATATGAAAATAACGACATTTTTTTGCGTCTCCATACCAGTCCCCAGTATTAGACTGTTAAGACCCCCATTAAAGCCAAGCAAACACAACTCAGATCTTCTAATTTAAAGACTCTGAGCTCTGGCTAACTGCACAAGGCAATTATGGAATGACTGAAGTATAAAAAAAATGCGATACTGACCCATTGATATAAACCAGTATCTTGCAATGGCAGTTGCTGCACGGATGCTGTCACTCACCTGCTTATTGCTCTTGGCATAGCTGAGTCCTATCCCTTGCACAGTTTGTCCTGTATATCCTGGGGGACAGGTCTCACATCGGAAACCCGGAGCAGTGTTCACACATCGCACTCCAGGGAAGCAAGGGTTGTAACGACACTGCAAAGAAAAAAATGAACCAAGCACATGTTCGTGCTTCAGTAACATCCAGACTCTGACTATGTGCACAGACCTCTCAGTCAAAGGCAATGCTACATGCAATGTCTCTATGTCTTCTCTTCAGAGCTAGCTTACAGAAGAAACAGTTTCTGCAGGTATTTCTGACCCCAGCAGGTCTTCAGCTATCTCTGTAATTTAAGAAATGTTTGAAATCTTCCATTATAGCCTGTAGTTGATGCCTTAAGCTCTGATCCCCAGTCCTTCCTTTTGCTGGGCAGGTTCAGCTTGCTCAGAGGCTGAGAGCACCCTCAAAGGGTCCAGACCACAATATCAGGAAAGTCGTGTGACTCCAACCCACCGAATGGTCCTGAACTTCTGTTTTGTACACACAGAAGAGGCAGCAGCATTTTCCTTCATTTATATGTGGCCAAATCGCATACCCAGAAGTAATGCAAACATGAGCCAGATGAGCAGGGATGTGTCAGTGGCACCCACACAGCTCTAGATCGGACCCACAGACAACCCTCAGCACTTCTCCCAGAACACCACATGCCCACAGCATCACCCTTGGCCTGAAGGCACCATTCACGTCATTGCCTCATGCGGTTTTACAGAACAGCTGTGACCCATTTCACTGGCCTTGTGGGTGCCAGTTTGGGAACCACATCCTGCATTGCTGCCTCTCCAACATCAACACTAGCCGCTAGGTAGTATTTGTAAGGGTACTGAAAACATCAACATGCCATCACGCTGCATACGGCTCAAAGACAACAATAAATAAGAAACATGAGAAAGACATATAAAAGAGTTTTTTAAATATGCTCTTTTTTCCCCCCTCTATTGCTAAAAGTATCACATCTGTAAGATGGAGAACAAGCCCACATATCCACCTACAACAAACATACAACTTGTAACCAAACACACATACAAGGGAGCAAGAAAAGGTATGTTTAATATCAATGCACGTTTGATGGAAAGATTTGTTAGAAGTAGGTCCACAACTAGCATAAGGAAAACGTAAAACCTAGGACAGACATTTTGTGCTCCTTGTTTACTGTGGATTTTTTATTGTAGGCAGCAGAGGGCACTCAAATTACACCTTAGACAGAGCAGAGCTCCAGTTCCCGAGATACAGGGCATCAGCATATGAACGTAATGTCTTCAAACTGGTAATGAATAACGGAGCATACTGCAGAGACACTAACAGCCTCAGAAGAGATGACGGCAGCTCTCAGTGAGGAAGCTTCTAGATATGTCTTTATCAGAATTTGTACATGAACTTCTTTTTAAATGCCAGTTATTAGGAAGTAAAGAAATAGTTTATTCAGTAGAAAGGTGCTCTCCCAGAAGAGATTCCTAAAGAACTTTCAAAAAAACCCAGAAGTTACTTTCCTTCTCAGTCTCAGCTAATTCGGGAAAACAAATAATATGACACATCCCCTCTTATTAGACAATGAAAAACTATTGCCATATATTATCTCTTTTTTTCCCCCCTGCGCGACCACAAGTGAAAATCCAGCTGGTGAACAAAACTGCACCAGACTAGGTGGCATTTTAGTAGCAGTGTCTACATAAAGACCTCATATAAGCAAGACTAGATCTCTATGACACTGTTTTGGGAAAATTTCCTCGCTGTTTCTCATGTGAGATCAGGTCTGCCATGTGGAGTGGTGGCAGGAACGTGAAGGCACGTCAAGCTACTATGGCAGAGCCTGACTGCTCACAGAAAACCATGTTAATGTCAGGCCATTACAGACCAGTCTCAGTTTGTTTTCCCACCACTGCTGTCATGGGTAGAGTTGCTCCAACCCTGAAAAGGACATGGAGGAGATTATTGCCATGCTCTGCCTCAGTCTGGGCATGGCTCTGGAGCTGGAAGCCATCCATACTGATGGGTTCCACCTAAGCTGGCTTGAGTCTTGCACCCTGGTTGTCTGTGGCATGAAACTTGCACCACAGCTGTCTCAGCTTCACCTCTTGCATTCACATTTCAGAGCTTCACCTTCATTTTTTGCACCTTCTGTTGCAGCAGACACAGTCCATGCCACGTAAGGCAAAACAAAAACACATTGCCTACAACTCAGGAAACTGCCACACTCAACCCACTTTCTCTCCTCAGTATTTTTCACAAACAGATATAAGTTGGGCACATTGCATCCTCTCTGCTGATGGCCTAGAGGACGGAATAAACCAAAAGCGCAGTCAAAGCACATCTGTTGCCTAGGAAGGAAAAAAAAGGAATTGCTTTTGCTGCTTTACATCATTAGGAAGGTACATTGGTAGTACTGTGTTATCCACAGGCACAGTCAATGACCTAATTCTCCTGCTTCCCTGGTCTACTGCATCCCAGTGCTTTTCCAAAAAAAATCACTAGAGAGTAATGGCAAAAATCATCACACAGAAAAATGCGGTGAAGCTGCAGGTGGTTTTGTTGTTTGTGTTCCGAGTAAGTGTCACATTCCAATTAACACAGGTTTTATTTAATCATTTAAGATATTGTAAATTTATTAACTCAGTCCTCAATACAAGCAAGCTCTGAATTTCTAACACATAGCACAAGAAAAAAAAAAATAGACTTAAGTCAACATTATCAGCTTTCAACACAAACATAAAGAAGCCAAAGGAACAATAACAATAAATGTTTATTTTCTTTCATAGACTTTTAAGGTAAGGCTGAAAACATGGATCCAGTTTGGGTTGAAGAGAAGACTTTGGTCTCCAAGGCTGGTTCAGGAGCACTACAATTTAAAGAAACAGAGCCTACATTGACAGGAAGAGCTTCTGCAGCCTGCAACAGAAGCTACTGCATCTTCTTGTGGAATAGAAACAACTACATCAAAAGTATGTTTTTAGTTGGTTTGGGGTTTTTTTCCAAACATTAAACTCCTTTAAGTGACTTCAACTCAGCAGGTTATTTCAAGTTTTCACACGTATAACCTCCACAAAGTTGCAGCAACAGCAAAATACGGAGGTAGAATCAAGTCAGAATGAATTAATACTCACTGTGCAAGCAGTCAGCAAATGCTGAAGACAGCAAGCATCAGCAACCCACTGATATGTATGAAACAGTTACTTTTTAGCTCCCCCCCCTCCTTTTTTTTTTTTTTAATTCAGTGAAAGTCACTATTTTACCTCATCAATATCTGAGCAGGTAACTCCATTTCCCGTGAACCCTTCAGGGCAGGGGCCGCACTGAAATCCCTCTGCTGTCTCCACACACCTGACTCCCCTGAAGCAGGAATTAACTTCACATTTGGGTTTACTGCGCCTAGGAAGCTGAGTTGGAAAATTCACAATTCCCAAACCTTTAATGCAGAAAGAACAACAGTTTCAGCGATTGAAAGAAACATCCATCACGGCTTTCAGCTGGCAAGCACTCTGAAGAGATCCCCAAGACGCTGCGCAGCAGGGGCTTCATGTTTCTGCACTGTGCTAAAACCAGCTGTGCTGTGGCTGAAGAGACTCCATGCTGGGAACGGCCCAGCAGCTTGCTGTGTCCCCAGACAGGGGAAATTAAGGCTGTTTTGTTAGATACACGTGCTTCTCCTGGCTACAGATGGGAGCCCTCCTGCTAGGTTGGTCCCAGCACAGATCTGCTGCTGGCCAGGGGAGGAAACTCTTAAAGCCAGTGACCTCAGATGGCTCAAGGGACTCAAGTGTGATGGTACAAGCCATTTCTCTGGCTAAATCGGCAACACTACCACTTCATAAGAAGAACAGTGCCATGGTTTTGCAAAAGTGTATCTGACAGTCTACAAATAAGAGGAATAAAGAAGCAGCAGCTGGCAGCCCATGAACATGCAGCAGGACATGCAAGTACACTGGCTTATGTGCACAGACCAGCCCTGGGGAAAAGCAAGATTTTCTGAGACTCTGGCAGGTGCTGAACCTTGGTACTGATACATGCAGGATTTAAAGACTTTTTCTTTGGCACTTACACATAAAGGTTAACCTGGCTGGAGCTCAACTTGAATTTTGATGAGGCTGACAGACTGGAAGAAGAAATGAACTAAAAGGCCTGATGAGTTTAAGGCCTTTTGCCCCACCCAGTGAGGGAGTATTTTGGTTTTTATACTGAGTGCACGTGTGTCCTGACTATCAGTTGTGTAGGAGGGCCATGCAGTGGCATTTGGGAAAGCATTTATCTCTTCCATTTAGCGAAAAGATGGAGACCACCTTTGGGGTCTTACCACTGTTAACTAGTGACTGCCTACTCAGAATCAGACAGCTTTCAGGTGGACTGCATAGGATCTTCCTCAGACTGACAATACCAGCTAGAATAGAACATGATTCCTCCCTTGTCCTACTACGATTGTTCATGAGATACCTGGCAGGCAATGTGTCCCTCCCCAGGAACATGTGGCACAGCTTTGTGGCAGAGTGAGAACTGACAGTCCAGGGTGAATGGTACTGCGTGGTTCGGTGGGGTTTTATCCCTCAATAGGTGTTTGTCAGGTCTATGGAAACTAAAAGCTTTTTCTCTAATGAAAATCTATTTTAAATCTAGAAATTTGGACACAGTATTTTTAAAAAAGTACTTCTTAGAAACCACATAAGCTGATGCAATCAATACTAGTTTTAAAACAACTGTACATCTCATCTGGTTGCCTTTTACAGGCAATAACAGGAATACTTACCACATGCTTGGCACTCAGCTATGGTATTTCTCAGAAAAGTTGTTTCTTTGACCTTGAGGATATAGAGAATAAACATTATTTGGATACAGGCAGCTCCAGTTTGCACCTGGCTGTCAGAAGAACCATTATCATTTTTCGCCAAGATGCCACTCAAACCACACAACATAGGTACTCTATCTCGAAATGAGATGCTCTCTGTACTCCATAAAATTGAGGACAGTGATATTTGTATTCCAGTTCAGCCTTCATTAACAGGACCTTTAAGAATGACATGCTTAACTAAAGGCATGCAACATCAGCAATTTCAGTTCTGACACCCACCAGATAGCGGAACAAATCTAATTTCAGTTGTGTACAATAGCCTACCTCTATCTATCAGTGGGCTAGGATGGCTACTCTAGTTCCTCTCCACTTAAGACACTAGATTTTCTGGATCTGAATAAGCAAGTCCCCTACACTCCCACATTCAGTGATCCTCCATAGTGAGCACAGGGCACCAGGATCCATATGGTTATTTTTTCTCTACTGTGTCATGCCTCTGAGGCAATGAACTCCACACAGGAGCTTATTGCTTATGCGAATTCTGTCCTGACTCTATCAAAAGTGGCAAGCTTGGGGTATTTCACACTGAAGCCTTTATACAGTACCTGTTGTCTGAGAAGGTCTTTCACATCTCCCAGTATTTGGTTCATCTGCATCATCTGACCCATCAGCTGCCTATTAAAATCACCTGCAAGGAAACAGCAATGAAAAGGAGTGCACAATACACATAACTCTTCTTCATTTACCATAATAATTTCTGAGATACAAGATGGAAACACTGTGAAGAGCCAAGGAGGACAGACATTACTGCTACTTAAGCCTTGTAGGAATCTTTAGAGCAAACACAGTATCCACTTCCAATTTTTAGAGTGATTTGCATGAACTCAAGGCTTTTCTGGAATGAATTCCACTGTATATCACAAAAACAGGCAAAGCATAAAATGTCCCCATAGAAAGAAAAGCAGTCTGTGATTTTTCTAACATTACTAGAGAGCCTTGACACTGAAATAAGACCTAACACTGGCAACTAATGCCACTAGTGTTACCGGTTCCCCTCAGGCCTGAAGCCAGCAATCGTAAGTGAAACCTTAGGATTTCAGGACTGTGTTTTTGTGATAACCTGTTTGGGGCAGCAGGGCAAGGCAGAGGCATGAAGTATCTGTGCACACAATGGGAAGTCACCCTCCGTAAGTGTATTCCATATTACCACAAACAATTCCTACTCACTTTTCAAAGCGAAGTTACCCAGCATTCTGAGCAAGGTCACTGCGCAGCTCTGACCATGCATCAAGAGTGCCTGCTCTGATTAAAACAGCACTTTTAATACCTGTGACAGACATTTGGCTTTTCTTCCAAAAGGCAGCTCATCACACTGTACATGTTTCATGGCTGCGTTTGCTTCTGGGGGGTGCAGTTTGTATGGACTCACAAAATATCTACTCAACACGCCACGAATTCACACCAAAGCCAGTTCAAAGTACAAATTAAAGACCTCTAAGACAAGACCAAAAGTTACATCTGTAAGGAGCCATAGGGAAGAACCAGAACCAACCCAAGATCTTCCCATGAGATTCTTATCTGTTAAATGAAACATTAATTTTGACACAGTGACAGAGGAGAAGCAGAGAGCACGTTTAACACAGTAGCTTACAGCAGTTTCTGTTTGTAGCTCACTTCTGAGTTTGTAGCTCTCCAGCAGCTATTTGTTTACTTCTTGAAGACTGTATGTCAAAACAAATTTCACAAATAGATGCTCTTTTGCATTCTAACCAGGCAGGATATTTTGATGTTATGCCCAATGGCTTCAAGGAGGTTTATTCACATGTTACTTCTGTCAGTATTGAAAGCTTATACGAAAAATGCTTTTCTTAGTGTTTACCTTATTGTTTTGTACTTCAAAGCATATCTAACTGTTTCCAACCATTCTAGTGGGAATCATCTAACTCCTCATATACTACATTCTCATCATTTCAGATTTTCTTATCAACACACTGAACAAGTTTAAAAAGATTCAGGAATCACCTGTTCCAGAACCCGCCTCTGTTCTAGTCCCAATCTTGCCTTATTTTTATTTGGGAGGAAGGCAGCAGGACTTCATATCATGGGTATTTCAGAATGCCATAATGGAACTTGGGACGCAGGCAGTCAGGACAGATGCTGGGGTCTGTTCTTGTTTTGACTGTTTTTTTTTTAAATAAAGAATGGTTTAGGTATTATTGATTGAGATCTACAACAAATGCTCAACGTTTCAGATGCTGTTTGTTGGCTAGCACCTAAATCAAAACCAGACCTATTCTGTACACTTAAGCTTTGCAGACTGCTAAACTTTAAGGGGGACTAAACAGGTTATACTGCCATGAACTACATGTCCTGTCTGCAAATTTAGACCGCAGAGCAGAAATAGATGACTTCCCATAGCCATTTTTTTTTTCTCTTCCGTTTAAAGCCAAGTCCTACTGTAGACCCCACCTGCAGCTGAATGACCAGTGATCAGGGGTAAGAACTCAGAGAGGTCCTTCAGGGAGCTGTTGGTCCACAGTATGTTGTGGGGTGGCTTTTCCCAGGAGGGAGCAAGGTAAGCAGAAGGTATATCCTGAAATTATTCTGTTATTTGGTCCTACCACATAGTCTCTCTTATCCATACCCAGCCTACTGAGGCAACTCCCCAGCTCAGCCAGTCCCTAGCTCTATAATCTGAGTTCGTAACAACCTGAGTAACAGAATAGCTTTCACAGCAATAATTAAATTTAGAGACAGATCTGAAGAATTACTGTCCAACAGGGAACTGAAGTCCCTCAACATGCTTATTCTCTGTAAGCCTGAGGTCATGTCAGGGTCTACCCTGTCCTTCTCTTCCCAGGACCTTGCAATACAGAATCATAGAATGGTTTGGATTGGAAGAGACCTTTAAAGATCACCTAGTCCAACCCCCTTGCCATGGCAGGGACATCTTTCTCTAGGTCAGGTTGCCCAAAGACCCATCCAACCTGACTTTGAACACTTCCAATGATGGAGCATCTGCAACTTCTCTGGGCAACCTGTTCCAGTACACAGCCTTGGATTTAGAGCAAGTGACCAGCTTCATTGCACAGCTAACTGGCCCAGGCAGGGCAAACGCACAAACACTAGCTCATGTAATTGCAGGCCACCGTGAAATGCCTCATAGATACTCCTTCTAGCTCTCCTGGCAGCACTATTGGCTCAAGCACACCAGTTGCCCCCATCCGGCAAAGTCAGAGTCCTGAAGTGTCATTCAAATACTTTGTGGTTACTTGGCCAGAGATCCAGCCATGATTAAAGTATGGATGATGGCTGACAAGAGAACAGTTTCCTATCAGCCTATAATCCTCCACCTAAGAAGGTGGATATACAAGTTGCACATGGAATTAGGAAGAGGCAGGTTCAAAGTAAACAGAAGGAGATATCATTCAAAACTGACTGCACAGATTCATGGAAGGAAACATACACTGAGTACAAAACAAAGACTGCACCTCTGAGTTGAGAGCTCTGTATACCATGAGCTGCTGGAAAATAGGAAAGCAGTCAAGGAAAATCACACTATAACTCCACTGTCGTATTCTCTTGCCCTTGGGTCTTTATCGGCGTACTGTCTCTAACAGTAGTTAGAGTAAAAGAACCTTTTGTCTGGTGTAACACAGTTTGGGGTTTTTTTGGTTTTTGTTGTTGTTGTTTTTTACTCTATGTCAGGTTCAACAGTTCTTTATGAACTACATGGGCTCCAGAGATCCCTTCTGACCCGAGTGATTTTGTGATGATGATTACATGCAGCATACTAATCTCATCTACCAAACCCAGTGCATCTTGCACTGCATTTTCCTAGCCACATGGGAAAATCCAAATACACATGTTCAACCTCTGTCTGACCATCATACTCTCATCTACACTGCCTAGGTGTCTCAGCCTCGCAGACTGAACACAGAGGGAACGCTGTTCCCACAGCAGTGAGCAATGACCAGGCACACAAAGCCATGTACAGTTAATTCAGCTCTCCCAGGGATCTTCCAATTAATATGAAAACACATGATTTTACCAAGATACATAGGCCTCACACCCCTATACAGCTGAGCATTTGCATTCCACCTTTTTCTGGCTGAAGGCAAAATTGTGGTTATCTGATATATTGCGCCTGTAAAAGGGCATTATCAAGCACATACAAAGTGCAAGGCAGCTGAGTTAATATTGCTGTTGGAACATCTGCATATTTTCCTCTAGTGGATTTGACTATTAAGACTTTGAATATATTCATGTGACTTGTTTTATTTTTATTATTAATATGATACTAATTCTACTTGAAGGTTATAAGCAATTGAATTTGAGAGTCTCAGCCAGGCGGAGGCAGCCAGGGACAGACAGTATCTCTCTGTATTTCTACCATTTGTATTATTGATTAATGAGCAAAACGTTAGAAATGAGAAAGCTGCAAGTCTGCACTCTGGAAACCTTGCTCACAGACCTGTGAGTTTTTCCAGGAGGAAACACTGAATTACACTTCCCTTCTGTGCACAGATGCCTGTCGATTTAAGGAAAAAGAGAGACCTTTGATGATAAAACTGTATTTTTTGCCTAGGTGTATGTATGTTAAGGAGCAAGAACACAGAAGCATGTGCAATATACAGCTAAACGGCAGAACAGATTCTGTTGTCACTGCACACCACTGATGCCTACATTCATGTAATGTACCCAGGACGCTCTCATATAAAATGTATTTATCTTGTCTCTGTTCTAATCAAAAGTAGCAATGCTGCAGGGTTGGGTTTGGCAGGGAGGACAGGAAAGGGTGTGAGAGAGAACTTCTCATGATCCTATCTCAAACCTTGAACTCACCTTTTTTCCCCAATGCTGCTTGCATTACTAATATGCATTATTAATATTAGTATGTCACCCTGTGAACCCATTCTTTCCCCTCACACCTGCAGCAGAAAGGCAGATCAACAGAGACTAGGAAGGGGTACAGATGGGGCAGTCTAGCCCAGGTTTGCTGTGTTGAGAGGTTAGAGAGCCACCTTCCCCCATCACAAGGGATGGCACCCAGTCCCTGAGGAGCTGGAGGAATCCCAGTAGCCTCAGCTCCTTCCTTTGCTCCCTGTTCCCAGCTCAGTCTCCACAATGCTCAGCACAGGTAGAAAAGGAATTGGTTTTGGAGCAGATTTCCAGCCTATCAGGTAACAAAAGCCTAGGCAGGACTAACGGCTGCCTTGCAATGGCTTTTCCCATGCGGTCCCATAGGCTCTGCAGCTGTAGCACCAACACCCTCTGCAGTCTCCTGTGTTCTTCTTCACACCTTGTTCCTCCACTCTCCAGGACACTTCAGTGGTCAACAAAAGATGAATACTGGCCATGTGGATAAGTACATTGATAGGTCTTGCTACTCCATCCATCCACCTATTTTCATAAGGCCTGCAGCAGTGTACCACATTTAGGACTACTTACTGTCTGCAGTGTGAATACTTAAAATACTAAGCTGACACAACCAGATCAAGATCACAAAAGTTCATCTTCCATTAGGCTAAAAACCCTCTTTTATTCATTACAGGCACCTTCACTAGGACAACAACTCATTGCTTTAGCACCAGCAGCAGTGACTGTTTTCTCTACAAACTGAGCTATTTCTAAAACTTTTACAGGAAATTATCATGGCTGTAATTCAGTCAAAGAATTGTTATTACTTGTCTATAGAGCATCTCCATATTTTTAATATTCATCACATTAGCTTCTTTACACTGGTATGCTACGGAAAAATTTTAACTCCTGGTTGCAGGTCTTACCAGTGTACTGAGGAACAGGTTCAATTTGTTGAAGAAAACAATCCTGCAGGTTCCCCACTTGGGCAAGTGTTCCTCCAGTTACCAGCTTCAGCTCATCTAGCGTATCCTGGACCCACAAGAAAAATAGAGCTCAATTGTGGTACAACAACGGAAAAAAAGTGAAATAACAGACAAAGTAAATGAATGTTTTAGAGAGGTTGTCCATTTCCTAAGTATGCAGGGCTCCTACACCATCCCCTTCAGGACCACCCATCACCATCTGAACTGTAATAAAATCCTTAATCTTTGTCTTGCAGATTTTCACATAGCTGTGGTTTTATTTTGAACTTTTTTTTTTTACTATTCCAATTCATATGATCTCACATACCAGGAAGTTCACATATTTTTATATCTGCAGCAGCATATAAGAACGATTTTTTTGTTGTTGAACTGAATCCAAAGCAGTCTCCCTGCCTCTCCTCAAACAGGTTTACATTCACGTCAGGAATGTGGGCACCTTAGTGATTCTCCATATAAACAAGCTCATTTTCGAGCCTGCAATGAAACAAGAGCAAGGGGGCAGAATGCCTTTGCACCTTCTAATGCATATTTTGCATTAATGATGATGGAAGATGCTTGTGGAAGAAACTGTTTACCTCAGACTGCTGATATGCAGATGAGAGGATGCTATGTCAACCACTGGTTGGCAGACAGGAAGAAAAGCTATTGTAGTCAAACAGATGGGGGTTTTAGACTCTCACACCATGTGAGTCACCCCTTCTTTTTTCTTTTTAGTCCATGTGGCTTATCATGAAGAGGAAAGCCACAACACAGCCAAGAGTTGCTCATACTGAACAGTTGCAAGAAGCTGACGAAGAGCTGCCTTTACTGTGTCAGTTAAGACCTTGCAAAAAGTCCGGTCCCCAAGAAACACCTAGACTGAAGTGAAGGAGGCAGTAATTCTTTATAATTTTTTAATAAGCTAAAAATTGTGTTTAAAACAAATAGCACAACTATTACTGGGTTCAACGAAGCTAAGATTTCACATATTCCATAGGGAACTTATATTTACATTTATTTCAGAAATTAATACTCAAGTATTACTGAAGCACCATTGTACAAAGCTTGGCTGCAGCTGCGAGGGCTGAGTTCTGGGTTCAGTGATCCAGAGGATCCCTGGTGATCCCTCTAAGTGTCAAGCCTTCTCCCAGTTTTCCTGCTCACCTGTGGCTTCTCCTGGAAAGTGCGCAACTCCACCGCTGCAGACAGTGGTGAAAATGCTTTTGGCAGGTCCTGAATGGCACCTACTTGCAGGCAGTCCAGATACAACTCTATTCTGCTTGATCCCTGCTGCAGGCCACTCAGCCACAAGATGATAGAATGGGGTTTCCCATCAGCCAGCTGGATGTTGCTAAAGATCACTGAATTCAGCCTCCCATCGTTCTTCAGATAGCGCAGCACCACTAGCACAAAATACACAGAAGGACTGTCAGAGGGTAGCAGATAACCCAAGCGTGATCAAGAAAGATCCTGTGGAAATCTGCAAATGCTCTGGTAGTTTTCCACATGGCAGCTTTTGTAAATGCATTCCATATGTAGATATAAATGGTTAAAATAAATGGGACATTGACTCTCAGAGCAGGATTACCAGGACTCATGCATGAGGACAAGAGGAAACAGTCTCAAGTTGCGCCAGGGGAGGTTCAGGCTGGATATTAGGAAGAACTTCTTCACTGTAAGAGTCGTCAGGCATTGGAACTGGCTCCCCAGGGAGGTGGTGGACTCACCATCCCTGGAGGTGTTCAAAAAAACGTTTAGATGTGGCGCTTCAAGACATGGTTTAGTGGGCATGATGGCATCGGGTATACGGTTGGACTTGATGATCTTTGAGGTCTCTTCCAACCATAATGATTCTATGATTCTATGACTCCCCATTTGTAAAGGGCATTGATGCCTGCACAGTGCTTTCCACTGCTTTGTCCAGGCCTTTCTAACTGGCTTAACCAATATCACCTTACAGGGCAGAACGTGCTAAAATACAAGTGGTAAAGGTAAAGGGTGCCTGCAGTCAGCACTTTGGTAAGTACATATCTGATAGACCTAGAAATACTCTGTAGCAGAAATGTACAACTAGAAAAATAAGTTTCAGTGATGCATATTGCATTCAGTGAAGCCATCCAACAGTGTATCCAAATGCATCATTAAAGAAACCAAAGGAAGCATGATTCCAAGCTAATAACCTGTATTTCTCTTTAACAAAATATAATGCAGAAAAGACATATTCCACCCCTACAGATGACTAAGCCCCCTCTCAACTCCTTTTTAAGGCATTAGTGAATGACCTACTTGATAATTCACACACAAAAAATATCATTTTATGAAGTAAAAAGCACCATCAAAAAACCCAACAGCAGAAAACCAAAAACTCTTACACACTGCGTAATATTGAAAAAATGTCTCGTTCCTAAGGAAACTGGATCAGTAAGCTAGGATCTGCAAGCTAAATCTCTTAGACCAGCTAGCTAGTTCTCTCCACAAAATTTCTCCCTGGCTCTCCGAATGCATATTTGCAGAAGCAACAATCTGAGTGCATCTAAAGAGTGTATAACTACTCTACAGTATCAGACAAGACCTTGTTTCAAAGATGCCAGTGATCACCAGCCTGCATGTCCCTTATTTCCTCATGATGACGGTTATGTGCATTGAGGAGTCAAACTGCACAGACACTGGGCACCTAAACGGTTAAGCATTGGATCTTGTAAAACATCTGTTTGAAGTTCCCAGAGGGCTGCTACTGTTGCATCAAGTGAGAGCTCACAAATACCCTGACCTTCAAGAAACACCTACAGTAACATGAGGTCAACTAAAAATTGTGGACATAGTGGAGGGAAAATCTCTTATTAGCTTCAGAGCTAGTAAGACCTACTGAACTCACCTCATTTCTATTCATTTAATAAATTATCTTCCCATTACTAATGTACCCTCTTTGATGCTGTGATACCTCTGTTTGCTGGTGACCTTCTGAGTTACTGAGTACATGTTCCCTACTATTTTTCTTAATTGTTCAGTCTAATGATTAAAAAAATCCAGATTTATACCACCATGAATGGGGCAGGGTGTGCCTCCGTCTTTAAAGTCTACACTAGTGCTCAAGTCTCAGCAGCTGTGATCAATATCAGGAATGTTTTCCCTGCTGTCTATCTCAAAACACTGCCAGAGCTGAGATTTCTGCAAAGGTGCATGAGGTCACCAGCAACTTGCTAAAAGGTTGCATTTCTTGGCAAACTCAAACATCTGGCAAGACAGAGTACATTGCAGGCGTTTTACTTATGTGAACATTATGCATGCTTGGTCATATGAAAGCAAGTTCTTTGGATCTGGGCCCTGCATTCAGAGTGACCAAACACAGCAGTAAGATCAAGAAAGAAGGAGGAGATGGTGGCATGGCCCAGAACGGACTCTGCCAGAATAGCTTCAGGACAAGGAGCAGTCTGGCTTGGAAGAAGGATCAAGTATTTCTTCCTCAGCCAAAGCCAAATATCCATCTGGTAAACTAGAGTAAGCTTTTGAAGGGATATTTTGCTGGACCACAGCCTCCACCTCCGTAAGATTTAACTCAACCAAGTCCCTGCGTTACGTTTTTGCTGCTAGGATATTCTACACTGACATTCATGAGAGTAAGTGGCTCACCTCTACTGTTTAAGAAACAGACTTTCAATGAAACTACTAATCCTGCCATTAATTAGGCAATTATTATGTTACATCACTTTCATGCACTTACTGCTGTTTGTTCCATAAAGGAATCATCCAAAAAGGGCAAGAAACTCACGGATGCTATTTGCTCCTGAAAGGCACATTTGTCTAACCAAAAGAAGTTGAGCAGTTGCCCAGTAATTCAGATCTGTGCTTTAAAAAAAATGTAGGTGTTATGAACTTTTTACTGTCAAGTATACCACAACAAATCCAGAACATTAGCAAACCATTCCAAACACAGCTCTGAAATGTGGCACTTTCAAGGATAACTAAGGCCTGCTTTGGGCTACTTAGATCAGATTTGGATGCATAAGTGGAAATACCATGCAGAGGGAGTACTATGCACATATGCATCCTTCCAAAACCATAGATATTTAGACTCTGCATTTTGCTAAGACGCCAACCTTGGCTGACCACTTAAGTGATGATCTCCAGTCTAGAGAGGATCACAAACAGCCCCCACAATCCATACTTTCAGCTCATGTGACAGTCTCCTGGATGCAGTTTAACTTACTGTATGAAGCAGCCATTAGGGACACTTGACACTTCCAGGGAAATCTCACGTGAATATACTGCCTACTACCTGCATGCCGCCCTATGTCTTAAATGAGATGCACTAAAGTAATAAGGAGGCAAAGAGACGTCCATGGAACAGCCTTGCTGTGAAAAGCCTCCCTCTTTTTGATCAGTCCTTTACAACAGGTAGGTTCCAGATGTCCCTCATCTACTCAATGCTGGTCACTGACAAAACAAGTTTCTTCATGCTATCTATGTGCCACTGTCCTGTCACAGACACGTCTCAAATTCAACGCTAACATACTGAGGACAAAACCAAAAGAAGCCATATAACCTTCCACCAGAAAGCCTCAAGTCTGTTACTTAAAGCGTATCAGTAACCATCAGGTACACAGGTGTTACTGAAAATCAAAAGAAGAGTTTGGTATGTTCCAAATTGTTTGTATGTAAACATATTTGTGTGTCTATATATGCATTCCTACATATATGTATAACATTTACACACATAATTGTCTGTGTGTGAGAGGGAGAATGTGTGATCTATCATTTATTTAGCAATTAGGTAAGTCAGTATTAGGAATTGTATGACACTTACTAATGAGGCTGTGTGATCACATCTTACCCACCCCCAACACACACATAGCACAACAGTTCTTATTCCCTCATCTCAGAAGGATTTTGGCAGACCTGATAAAACTAGCAATGTTTTATCTAGCTCACTCCTCTACATTTCCCAAGCAAAAGGTGTGCTTTTCTTCATCATACAGAACAATCTTCCTATGTATAAACTGAAATTTCTCAGTAGAGTTTCTCAGTATATTGGACTCAGCTGCCTGATTACAACATTTGCAGCAGCAAATTATCATAGCAGTGGTGAAGTCAGTGGAGCAACAATAATTTACATCATTCAACAGTTTTTCGCTGAACCTTAAAATTGCAGTATATCCTAGATCTGGTCTACAGAGCGATGAAAGCTCTCCATTTCTAAGAGTCTGCTGAACTTCCTACTCTTGACTCCTGATTAACTAACTTCAATAAACAGACAACAAACACTTTAATTCATGCAAAAGATTCTGCAAGTGCTAGGAATGTTTGTCTTGCGTAGTCACATCTAACCTCCAGGGTCAGCAGAACAAGAACCTGCCTTTCATATGCTTGAGGCAGCATGTGCATGTGTCCCTCACATTCCTGAGTAATAAGAACCAGTGATTGTCTCAAGGGGAAAGAGAAAAAAAGGGAAAAAAAACCCAAACAAACAAAAAACCCCCAAATTGACTCCTTTCTCCATACTCCATTGTTTTCCTCCTTTCTCAGCATTGCTCAGATCAAGCACGGAGATATCAGCTGACTGTCAGGTCACCTTCCCCTGGCTAGGAGAGAGCAGCATCCAGCAAGAGGAAGGAAAGAAAAGGGGAGTAAGAGGGGATGAGAGGGGATGTAACCAACACTTTTGGAGGGGAGGGGGGCGGGAGGCCTAAGAGGTGACAGCATGCAAAAGGAATGACTCAAGCACAAAGGTTAATCACACAGTTTTCAACATCCATCTGTGACACAACAATAACTACGGAACCAACATGTTTTCCCCTACATACTCCAAACAACTCACCTTTATTCATTCTTCCCATCACTGTAAATTCAAAATACTTGCTGTTGTCAGCTGATGAATACAGACCAAATATGGTGGCTGTGCTCTTCGGCTGCAGTTTGAATGTTGAGAGCAAGTACACTTCATTCAGCGTAGGATCACCAAGTGCTTGTTCCAAGAAGTTCGTTACCACTCTCTTGTTGGAATACGGAAGAAGATCAAAAACTGAAAGATAAGGAAGTTTCAACAGCAATTTAAATATAATAATGACCAAAGAAGAATGTAGTCTGAAGCCACCCACTGGAGACTGTACACTCTTCACTGTTTCCATATGGATACTTTAAAGTGAACCTAAGTTGTCCTACCTAAAAGAAATAATATGAAAACAAAAATTAATAATATGAAGATCATCTTTAAAGATCATCTAGTCCAACCCCCCAGCATTGTGAGTGACATCTTAAGCAACCTGATCTAGCGAAAGATGTCCCTGCCTACGGCAGAGGGTTTGGACTAGATGATCTTTAAAGGTCCCTTCCAACCAAAACTATTCTATGATTCTATCAAAATATCGTACAGATTTTGTTGCAACTGATCATCTTTTAGAAACTTTTTTTTCCAAATAAATTATTGGTAGGTTACTAACGTATAAATATCTATTCTTCAAATTGAGGTACTCAAATATTTTCAGGTAGATCTCTCAAAATCTTCTCTTCTGAGGATGCATCTCAACAGAAAGCTTTTTAACTTATTTCTGCTTTCATAAATTCAGACACTTGTGTTTCACATTTCAATTAGACTGAGGATCCAGCATCAAAATTTTCAGACAGATTTCCAGTGTACTTATCCTAAGAACCATTTTGATGGCATTTGCAGGGCACCAATTAAAATGCTAAAAAGCCAGGTAAGCAATATGATGTTCATAACCTCCTTCTCACTTCACTGACTTCTCAGAAGATATATTGTATAAATAAGACTCATCTTTCCCTTCTGGCACAGATAACAAAGAACGACAGAACTGACAAAAAAAATAACCCTGAAGGCATAGTGAAAGCTGTTTCAAATTTTTCTTTCAAATTTTGGCACAATGCATCAGCAAAGAGCCTAACATTATACTTGCATGTATGCCAGCTACCCTGCTCATGGCACCGAAACAACAAACTGGAGTTTTCATCAATGTTCCTGAATCCATGATGACTCCAAACTCACTCAACTATTCCACTAGGTTTCTTGATAATCTCCTATTTCAACCCACTGCTCTTAAAGCAGTATATATATTATACCCTTCCAATAAAGTCTGATAAATGACTATGCACAAGTGTTATTTAAATATAAGGGCATATTTAGACATTGTATACCACTGCCACTCCATAGGCCTATCACAGCTGATCCTTATTTTTCTCCCACACCAACACCATACTGTAGAGCTGCCACCAGAGAAGAACCCTAACACCAGGCAGACGGCAAAGGCACACGACAGAACATTGCGCCTTACCTTGATTCAAGGCTGTGGTTGTACCACTAAGTTTAGTCTCCCAGGCCAAAAAATAGTGGACCTTTGCAGATGAGTCTTTTCTATCCAGCATGACCTCAAAGCTGTCAATGGGGCCATTCTACTGATCCAGTGTTTCCATACGCTACAAGCAGGAGCAGACTGAAGAGTGCAGAGAGGACAATCAAATGGGCACACAGACCTGCTCACAGCTATGTGCGAAACCCTGTTCCCTTATATTAGAGCCTGGGTTCCTGCTGCTTCCACTACTCATTCTGGAGCATCCATTCATCTAGACACCATCTCCAAAAAGGAAAAATGAAGAGATTTTTCCCTTCATCTCATGAAACCATTGAAATATAGATCATCGTGTAAGTCTACACTTGTCTTGGGTCCAAGGATCGCACAACTCTACTGAGAGTTTTCAGGACACAACGCAAAAAGAACCAGGCCCTTGATTTGCATGCATTTGTAATACTGTTGTCAAACAACTAAGAAACGCTATCTGAGACGGACCTGGTCAAAGGACTTCTCTTTCATTCAGTTCACATTTACAGCATCCCAGGACAACCACTGCTCCCACTGAAACAGGTGACCCAGACAGCGGAGGTAAAAGGCTGTGTATTTCATCACATTTAGCACACAGAGAATAAAGCAATTGCCCAAGCAAGAGACTGAAATGCAACCCACTAGCCTGTACAATAGCATTTTGCAAGTAATAATCATTCATAAAATATAGCTGTCTCTTCTCAGCCAGAGCACCGCAATATAGTACTTAAGTCTTTGACAGCAGAAAATATAGCTATACATTTTGTCCAGTATTTCTAGGTCTATTGGCTGATTTTATATCAATTCCTGTGAGATAAATTAATCTCTGCTAGAGTCAAACACTTAAACATACAGGAGAAATATTATAAAAGTAATTACTAAACGCTGGCAAACGTCTGTCTAACCTTGTAGACAACATTTATTGAAATGTTTGAAATTTGCATATTTAAATGATTGCTCAAATTGGTTTGCTAGTTGCATTCTATAAGGCACATTGCCTCAACTAGTTCCTTCAGCACCATGTTATTGAACCCTTTCTTGGGATATCTTCACTGACCAGCATGTAGACGCCGTATATGACCAGATCCATCCTTTAATGTAAATGAAACACGTGCTAGCAAAACCGCCTAGCAGAAGAGCAATGGGGTTATGAAAACTCATTTTACATCCTTACTAGAGTTGGCAGAGAGATAGCTCTTAGACCTTACAGAGACAATTACTTGTTTGGAAGGAACAAGTCAAAAATATCCACAAGGATTTCAGATTTCATTTTTAGAAGAATCTAATCTTTTTATTCCTCTCCCTGGAAAGGCAGACGTGAAAACAAATGGATAGAAAAGGAGTGCCGAAGCTGAAAGGCACAAGCAGCTGGTTTCAATCGGTGAAGTGAGAGTGAGGACGCAGGCATGCCACCGAGCATGAGCACGCATACCCATCGGGCTAAACTGAGCCCACTCGCGAGACAGACCAGGAACCCTCTCCCTCACCTGCTTTCTGTGGGTTTTAGAAAAGAGCTGCCCAGCCTCGTACGAAAATGCTAATAAGGGATCAGCTACACCTTGAGACAGTGGCAAACCACTCTTTAGAGATCAGCCCAAAACCATCAAGGCTAGCTCTTCAGATGGGAGCTAAAAGACATGATGGGAAGCCCTAAGAGGAGAAGGCATGGAAGACTGAAATTAGTGGCACAGGAGAGGACGGAACACAAAATAAAAGACCCTTTCTTTCCCTTACTTCTGTTGCCATGTCACACCAGATTTTTGAGATCCTCCAACATTCTTGTCCAGTCACAGCTAACCATAATAACAGTAAATGTAAACACTGTTTCACTGCTGTTCAGCACTTTTCAAGATAATTAATGATGGCTTAGACACTTGGAGTGAAACCCTAACCCCACTGCAACGATTTCTGACTCACTGTAAGAAGGGGAAAATTTCACGTCCTGATAGTGGGGTCTTTTACGGGCCACTGCTCCAACAAGCTTTTAAAATATGGCAATACTCGACTTCTCAATATGACAATTTTCTGAAATGTTTTTACATCAAAAAGGACTTTAATAAAGGCTTTTCGAAATGTAGCTAAATTAATCCCATTGGATGCCTTTTAGATCTGCTTCACTTAACTAAGGAATAACTGATTAAAATGTCAAACATCATTTTGCAAGACAATGGAGGGACTTAAAAATGCAGAGAGAACCAGGAGCAGCTTTAAGGATCCTGGAACCGCACCAAATTACCCTAACTGCTGCACTCAGCTGAGCTGGGTCCAGTCACAAGCCGCTACTGGACAGCAATACCACTCACTTTATGCATGCTCTAAAATAAAGTGCCTCCTGACTTACTACGTGCATAACATTGTCAAAATAGCGCTGGGTTTAGAAGATACCTGTTTTCCTATCACTTTATGAAGTGGAGTTTCCCAACGAGTCTTCACAGATAATCACAGAAAAGTGATTATCAAATCACTTTTCATTTATGAGAAGTTGCAATTAAAAAGTGCTCTACAGACGTTCAACACATCTACTAGCACCCCTTCAAGACCAGACCACTTTTGCTGATTTCAGGGGCCGGCGGCTGATGGAGCGGCTATACCGCGACCTCCTCCGGTTCCCACCGCGAGTCCGGCGGGGCAAAGCACGCGTGGGGGCGCCGGGGCGGCTCCGCCAGCGCTTTCTGCGCCCTGCTGCCCGCGA